TTCGTGAATAGTGCCCAGATTTATTTTCCCGAACGTTCGGAGAATAGTGTCGGCCTTAATTTTATGACTGCTCTCCCTTGTATCAAATTTATTTGAGTTATTTCCCTTCCCTTTTCCGTTCGCTGATTGGCTGAACGTTTTCTTCTGTTTCAAACTCAAGACAAGCGGTTGAGGAAAAAGCAAAGCATGTAATGTAAACAGTGGACGAAGGATGAATTTTACATTTATTTGTACATAAAAGTTTAAGTCATTTAGTGAAACGTAAACACAAGGATATTTTACATTTGTTTCCGCTCTACCCGAGAAGACTTCAAAATGACACTGGGAAAGAACAAGGTATGTAAACAGGCTTGCCCACCCAAGCCGGCCCAAGTCCACCAAGAAGGAGGCCCAATCAAGGTTTTTCCCGAGTTTGCCCAGTCCCGGCAGTTGTTAGAGGATATATTCAGTTGATTTATGTTGTTATGTTCGTCCGCATTTGTTGAAGTTGTAGTCTAGCCACCATGACATTTTCTTAACGGAGGGCCTGGGATTTTATGTGGCCAAGGAGAGTGGGCTCGTCATAATATGATGTGAGATTGTTGAAACTCAGTCCTTGTGATTACAGTGGGAAAGTGGCTATTCTCACCCGCCCGGTCTCGCAAGATCTACTCCTCCCCTCTTCTCTCTCTCTCTGTCTCTTTCTGAATACTGTCTATCGGTGTGGACGATCAAATTGACCAAAACAAAGTTAAAAAATGATGTTAAAACACAAAAGTAAATTAATTTGGTTGTCTACAAAGATGCTACGGCTATTTAACTTTTCGAATCGAGCCGAACTATGCGGGTCGCCATTTTGTTTTGTTCTCTCTCTCACTCTCTCTCTCTCTCCCCTGCCCACAGACAAAATTGTACGCTTTTAGTAGGCTACAAGTACAGTTGTAATGGAACGTTTGTTCACAGCACAGAATTCTACAATTTTTCTCTTATCAAAGTCACAGTGTAGAATTCTGTGGTTTAGGGTGAACGCAAAATTTGTTGACACACGCACCGGGTGAGAATAGCCACAGTGGAGGCAGGGCCTCATTGCAGCACTCCAAGGAGTTGGAAGATGATATTGATATCCTCGCCAGTGAGTCATGTGACTTGTATTCTGACCAATGCCCAATGCTGAGCAAAATATGTCCATTCTTCGCTTGTCCCAGATGTAGAGACGACTGGGCGCTTCACCATCTCCGCTTTGATCCCTGTGGCTGTGAGCGCTGTCGTAAGGGGCAGGGGCGTTCACGGTGGCTGGGTGAGGGGTTCTCTCGTGCATGTCGAGTTTCAGAAGAACTTCGGGGGCTGTGGTTGAGGGTCATGCAACATCACACTATGGTGTGGGACATCTGATGTCAGTCATTTTGACTTTGTAAATGAAGTCTTTGTTCCAAATTTATTAGCCTAGATCTAGATCTAGATCTAGATTTATGTCAATGTCTTTTATTACAATTATCATACAAAGTAAAGTCACTCTTTGATTCAGGTAGGGCCTACCTGTGAACACACGAACAAACAGAGATACTTGAGGACACACGAATTACGAATGCGGACGAACTTATACGTACAACATGAATCAACTGAATATCCTCTAGACTCTAGATCTAGATCTAGATAATAGTTGTGACTGGCGCAGGCCCAGCGTTGCGTATATAAAATTTAAATTATAAATTTTTATTTGAAATAGATTATTAACTCAATCATTCATCAGATCTACACTGATCACAGACCCACTGAGGCAGACTGGGAAGATGACATGGATACAACCCCTCCCCTTCCCCCGATCACAAAAGGCCACCTTTTTTTTTCTCACCCCTGGTGAGAATAACCCATGTCTCAATATTTTCACCCCGCCCCCCAGTGAGAATAGCTCCCACCCCAGTGTGGGCATGAGGCGAGGACTCCCCCCTGACCTCTCGCAGGCCGATAAAATCACCTAGGCCCTTGGTGGCTTACCGCATGTGGTTGGGAACGAATAATAATGTAAAAAAAATTTTTGCCTCTCCAGGACAGTAAAAAAAAAGACTCACTACAGACACTGAGCGTATGTGGGACCATTCGTTGTTTACAAACTTAACGATGGCTGGCCTCTCTGCACACAATGCGTTATTATATTGGTTCAAGGAACAGGGAGCCTATTACGAACGTAATGAGACATGAGCACGAGACCATGTTTTTGCTCGACGGTTGAAGGGTTGTAAATTATTCAGACCAAATGGACGAGGACGTGAAATCGTATGATTTTAAGCAATCCAAGCTCTTTTCTTCACTTTCTTTTTTTTTTTTTTTTTTTCTTCTTTTTTTTTTTTTTTTATTCTTGCCTCTTCTGTCCCCTTCTTCTTCAACATTTTGGAGCCAAAAAAGAGCCAGAGAGCCAAATGAAATTCTCTGCGCCAGACACGATCCAAAAGAGCCAAATTTCTGGGATTTGGCTCCAATTTGACAACCCAGACTGTGACTAGATCTAGATGTATGTCTATTCGGACACCAACACAATCCTGTAGAGCATCAGCCCCGCTAACCTCAGCCCTGATCTCTCTTGGGTCATTTCCGGGAAAACAAGGGAGGGGGTGAGAATAACGAGACATAGGTTATAATTTTCACCTGAGGTGAGATCACATATTATTATATATATAATATATAATATATATATGCGTTGGACCATGCCCTCATGTTTTAAAATTATTTTAAGCCTAAAACTGCCCCCCTCCCACGAATAAAAACAAACAAAACTCACCCAGTTATATAATAATAATAAATGAATTTATAACGCGCTAGATCCACAAAAAGTGCTCGATGGCGCTTACAAAACACACACACACACACAAAAGCTCTAAAGCTCAGTACTATTACAGGTGCATTAATTTTTTAAAAAGATGACAGATATTTCAGATTATATTATAAAGTTCCACATTTCAAAATAAAATTTATGAACATCTCTTTCAGTTTGAAAATTGTTTCTGAAAGTGGTAAGCTCGGTTATCACCATTGAAATTATATTATTTGTTAGAAATAATTTTTACATTTTTTTACCATTATTATTGTCATCTTTATTTCAGGGAGAATCTGCCAAATCTTTGGTGGCACCATATGATGAGTTGATGCGAAAAGCAAAAGTGTTGCAGTCAGGATGTGAAGCAGGTTTGTTTTTATAGATTGATGCGTGGGAAGTATGGACTAACGCATGGAACTGCTTTCAGAATAATTTTTATGAGGAGCTTTTTTTTCCCCCCCCAACATTACTTACTCTGATTGGAGTTGCTGTGGCAGTAGTTGTCTTATCCCTGACATTATTGAGTAAAATAGGATCTTTATTTTCAACAAGGAGTGAAATCTTATGAACTAGAATTTGAAATTCGAAAAAAAAAAAAGCCTTTCATTACTTAATTCATGACGGGACTGTAATGGTAGATTGTCAGCGGATTATTTGTTGATGTTTGTTTATCAAATTGACCTTCCTCAAATTTTACGTATTACAGAATTCAAAATATTCACTGTCAACCAAGATGAAAACCGTGTGAAATGGCTGAATTCTGAACAGAAGAATGAAAGTATGGAGGACAAATTGAAGAGGCTTGAGGCTCAGGCTGCCACCCTAGAGACTCAGCTAAAGCATGCCAGGTAAGATTCTGATATTGTCAACCATGCAGGGCTGCCCACCATTACGTATTTGGCAGAATAGTCTTTTTTTTCTTTTTCAATTTTACAAGAACCATAACACCTCGATTTTGAATTTTCAAAATCTGATTTGTCATTTGGCTGCCCCAACTCAAGCCCACCTTCTCAGAGTACAAGGAAGAAAACCAATCAGAACCCGACGCTCTACATCTCTTTGTTGCCTGCAGCTGTCTAACTTATAAATAACTCTCTGTGCATAGAACCCATTTGGTGACTCCATACCGCTTTGTCCTTAAAAAGACATGGATTGTGCCTTGCCTTGACGAGAAGAGATGTTAAAAAATCCTTTTTGCTTTTATGCTGTGGGTGACCGCACAGGCCAATTATAAGTAGAGAAATAAAAGACCAGATCTTTGTATGAAACTTGAAATTGTCAGCTGCGACACGCTGCATGATCTGTAGTAGTGATACACGGTCTGGATCAAAAGTGTGTACTGTTGTTCTTATTCTTTTGTTTTACGAAATTTAAACTCACAACCAATAACTCTCCACCCCTTCCCCCGCACTCCCTTTTTTTCCCCCATAATGCAACGACGACGACGAGCCAATCAAGATCTCTTTCGCCACACCTTTGTGTTTATGTTACATTCAGGATGGTTGTTAACCATATCCGTACACCCTGGGGTCATTTTGTACCCCCGGGGTTGTATTCTTCACATTTTAGAATAATTTTAGTAAGATCTCTTTGAAACTTTCAGTATTTTTCAAAAAATCATTTTGACAGACTGCTATGCGAAGCGTACGGATCGGACTAACAAGTAAATTTCCTCTTTGGAAAGTGGTGGCACTGAGTTGAGTTCCCCACTTCGTATGGATACGATAGTAAAACATGGCGTACAGATAGGGTTAACAATCACACAGTGTATGACAAGCTCAAAGTTTCTTTCCACATAGAATAAAGTGGGTCAAAATATTGACTGTGCATATATTAAAGTTCCCATGAAACAATTCTTATGATTATGACATCTCAATTTTTATTCTGTTTTCAGGCTTTAGATATTAAAAATAAATGTGAAAACTGATTTGACAAGTGTGTTGTTTTTTTAAAAATCTTTGCAGACTCCAAGCGGAATATGAATTACAAAGAAGAAAAACTGCAGAGAAAGAGAAGGATGATATGGTAAAAGATTTGCTTTTATTCTTTTTTGCTAAAATTGTATGAAATTGAAAGATAAAGCAACATTTTGTGTTCGCAATTAGAGTAAAATTATGTTTTAAAGACTCAGAGGAGACCTCTTTTCTGTACTCTTACAGTATAGAATTTGAACTAGAGTCTACCCATGTTTGTATACTGAGATAGACATTGAGAGCAGATCAGATGCAGAAATTAATAGCTGTTAGTGTTATGTTCAATTTCTATGACAACCTTTGTTACTTTGTAACTGATATAATTCTTTGAGTTGATTGAATGTTCATGTTCTAGCATTTTCCCCCCAGCCTTTATTTTTCTCTCACTATATATTGTTAAATTTTTTATGTGAGTGCAAGAATGTTTGTAGTAAACATGAACTTTTTTTTCAAAACTTTTTGTTCGTAAATTTTGAAAGATTTGGTATGAAATGTATTCCACTGTAAAATTCATAAAAATACTTTGTTTTCCAGGATCGTCAAATTGGTGTAATAAGAGAGCTTCTTGTTGACAAGAACAGCAAGAGCATTATCCATGAGAATGACAGGGAGCGACTGGCAGCTTTTACCAGTAACCAACGTCTAAGCACACAGAACGACATGAGCAATACCAGGTAATGGACGAAAAAGCTGAGTCTTTAACAGTTACTGGGGCTCTCAGAGTTCCGGTGCATTCATCTTTTTCTGCTTCTTGATTGCATCACACTTGACGTCTAGTATCTATCATATGTACTGGGCCGTCCTGCTCAGTTCCTCTGTTGGCCTACATATCTTCTTTGTGCATTCAGATTCAGATAGAATCAGAGGTTTCTTTACTAAATGTTGACTGTCAGTTTATTGCCATGACTGCTTCAACCCTATCCACACTCCCTGGGGTCATTTTGTACCCCCGGGGTTGTATTCTTCAACATTTTAGAATACTTTTAGTGCGAAGATCTCTTTGAAACTTTCAGTATTTCTCAAAAAATCATTTTGACAGACTGCTATGCAAAGCGTACAGATTGGATTCATGAGTAAGTTTCCTCTTTGGAAAGGAGTGGCACAGAGTTCCCCACGTCGTATGGATACGATAGTAAAATAGTAAAACACAACGTAAGGATAGGGTTAGATGAAGGTTTTGCTAGTTAACTGATCTTTTGGTTCTCTCAGAC